ATTCCGTCACTGCATTAATGACTTCCTTACTACAATTTAACATCAACTAATTCCTTCCATTCTTCAACGTTTGATTCAGTTTTATCGCACTCTTGATTTATTTCTTCATAGCTATTCTCCCATAAGATTAATTTCATTCGAATCTCACCAACCCAAATTGCCAACAAGATCCAATAAACTAACTGCACGATCGGCTGACGACGACGCTACATTACTGAACAGTTGCATGTTTATTGCATATCCATTGTGCACACTTCCATCTTGGCCTTGTTCTGTTTTCGGCAAATCAATATCGTTATCATTATCAATCAGTCCACTATCATTCGGTAGCAATGTGGTATTTGTTGTTGCCGATTCGGACAGATCTACCAGTGGTGATGATCCTTAATTCATATCAATCGGTCGGTATCAACCGTATCAAATTTGCGTAAGAATGGCAAAAGAAATGACACATTCGAACTAAAAACGAACCGTTATTAGAAGATTCGTTAGTGAACGGCGATGCTGCGGTGTGTTGATCATTGTTTGATGAAGTATACAGAACTGTGTCCGTATGACACTGATTCTTAGTATCCGTTACCATCGTCGCCTTATTATTATTATTACCACTACTGTTTTTAATTTTGATCAAATCCCATTGTTTCTCCAATTCAACCGCAACCAATTTGTGATAACGACTCATGTGTCTCATTAGATTCGCAGTTTTACCTGCTTTCATCACATTCAAGCACAATATACATACGGCACACTTCGACTTTTCATCGGTTATCAAGAAGTAGGATGTTACTGGATGAATATTGCGTTCACGTCTGTTCAATCGACGACGAGAGGTTAATGACCTGTTGATCAACGACAACGACTGTTGTTTCTCGGTTCCATCTGACTTATTCATCTTCATTAAACTAATACAATCCATTACACGAACATTCACTCGTCACTGGAAAACAGAAGCACGATCGAAAAACATCACCGGAAACAAAACTAACAAGATGAGCCCTTCGACAGTCGTCTCGCATTTTCTGTTTCCTTCTTACGTAGGTAATTTGATAGCGACATGAACTGCAAATTAGAACGAAAAAATTTAACAAAACATGATCGTTGAAATATATCAATTAATCTGATGAATCGAAATGAGCAAAAGGATATAAAATGCATTAAAAATCAACCAGTTGATGTTGAGCTGTAGAATTACCGGTACTAGAGCTACCAGAATGCGACGTGGACGGTGTCTGATCATCATTCTGTTCATCCAGTAACGAATGATCCTCTCCTGAGTAACCTTCTGAATCAATCCTAATCATCGATCACACGATAATAACCACAACTCTCGAATACATTTGCAATAATCGTCAAATTTGAAACGAAACGTAAAACGAGTGCAGTATTCACCATACCATTCGGACGTATTGCATTCGAATAGTTTAGAAATTGAGAAATATTGTTCAATATTTGAGTTGACGATAACAACGCGCTATTCATTTTGTTGTTTGATTCGTCTCTGCTGCAATTAATTCAGTTCCTCGTTGTTGTTCATAACCACCTTTATATCTGAACACTTCAATGAAACTTAATTGCAGTTCACATTAAAAATTATCAATTCAAAAAGACGATTAATCACATTCACCGAACAACGTACTACACACGCATCGTAAAACCCCGAGCCAAGTACTGAAATCATTTCACACAAACCTCAATGCTAACTTTTTTCTCAAGGATAGCTCCAAACCTCAAATTTTATTTGACATCGTATCGCGCTGCATAACATACAATGTGTGAGGTCGATTTGCTAATAGCGAGCTTAAGGAGTGTAAATGTCACCGAGTAGATGCACAATAAGATTGCGAGAATTTCATTTTTTTGTTGCTATAATTGGAATATCATGACAATATCGTAACAAATGAACGTCAACGACCTAACTCAAATGACATTGACCATCTGGAAAAGAAAGACAGTTCGATTGAAAAACATGAATTGTACCAGCAAAGTATTAAATTTCAGTGCAGTTTTCCGAGTGTCGGACAAAGTCGCATGGTAGGTAGGGTGTTGAATCCCATTTCAATTCCCTCAGTAGTGGGTAAAGCTACTAGGTCCTACTAGGTACTAAGTCCTACTAGGTCCATTTTGGTGGCCACCGAAATTGATGGGAGAGGAGAGGACCGGGCTAACGAGTTTCTGGTGGCTATCGACTAAATAAATGTTGGGCATCAGTTGGTTTGGATCGGTGGCGAGCGATGTAAATTCAAGAAACGCCAGTCAATCCATCTCTAATTACACTGATCATTCCAACAGGAGCCGTAATCGGGTTGAATTGTATCAGAGAAGTACCAAATTCCTGTACATTTCTCCGTTTATGAGATAATGTCGCTATATGTCTGCTGTGGAGGATACAAAAGCTGACCAAGATCAAAGTGACTTCCGGGGTTTGGGGTATTGCCGCCGAATTATGCATCTGATTTCCTGCTGGGGTAGTGAATCGTTTTTACTCGCAACCAGTATCTAATAAATTGGAGAGAGAAAAAATTGAAAAGTAAACAATAAATTGGAACGCTCAGTAACAAATGACAGTGATTACCATGTTGAAATACTGAAAAGTTCTTACGTAAGACGAACGCAACGTCCACGTGTGATATTTTTGGATTAAGTTTTGCATAGAATGTTTATGAGCTAACATGAATCAGTTACAGCCGGTGCACCTGATATCGGTAATAATCGCTTTTTGGATTAAACCAATACAGAAATTCTCGTGTCAAAATGATGATCATAACACAGGAGATTGATATTTTAAACGCTTGAGACGGCATATTCGAAGTGAGCAATCGTTATCACTGATGAAGCGTCTACATAGCGAATTTCTGGCGATGAACTGCAGTCACAACTCCAACGCCTCGATTATAACTGATTGATACCGCACAAAACTGCGTTTCATTATGCCATTTTGCACTGATGTTCAATCATTTATTTTGACAGTCTCCAAGAAGTTATATTCGGAATGAAACCATGAGAGCATCGATGGAGAAATATTGAGTTATAAAGCCATAAGTAGAGATATTAAAGTGATAGCATTAAAGGTGATTGCGTCAGAAATGAATTCAAAACGTGCATAAATGAATGGTGAAAGTGATAAGATTTATCAGTAAACAGATAAACGATGTATGGTGTGTGAGCGCTCAATTATTTTCGAACTTACCACGATGCAAGTCCCAAACTACAATTTGTATTGATTTCGATTTTGTATAGTCACTCAATGCTTGACACAATTACTAGCTGTACTATTTAAAAAAAACAATCCAATATGATAAGGCAATCCATCAATACTGCGATAGCCAACATTTTGATAAGTTCCTTTTTTGAACAATTGCTTCCTTTCTTTAATGCATCTTAGTCGACATTTTTCTCATTCAGTTTCACCTGCGCACCCTCTTAACCGGAGCTATTCTCATATTCGTGAATATTTAACTACCATTCTCGAACAATTTGAATTCAATGCTCATTCACAATTATTTTATGATAATATTGAGTGTGAAGCAACTGTACGAAGATGATCAATTCCACCATATCAAAAGCAGATTGTTTATTTAAGCATAAAACAATCCTATTAACAATTATTCACTCAAATATTATTGTGCTTCTTCTAGCGTTTGCTAGAACGACAACTGCGATACGAACAATATTAGTTCCATTTGATATTCGAATCAGTCACCAAGTACTTGCAGACAGCAATAATCGAATGTTGACATTGTCTGTGTACTTCTTCGTCACTTCTCAATTGATTGTTAATGCACTCGCCTACAAGATATTAATATGCAATCCACAGACTGGATATAGTCACGTTGCATTCTTAGGACAAATTGCTGACATACTCGTCGAAGCTGGTCATGAAGTGGTAAGTTTGAGAGGGAATAAGGAGATTATCGCAGTTTATGGTATTGTAGCTGGTGAGAAGCATTGTGAGATTTCTGGTTTATGATTTGTTTTTTGTTACTGATTAGAAACTGCGAATGAAAATTGATGAGAGAATAGCTGGTCGATGTTATCAGTAAGTTTCTTTGATGAGAAGATTTGATGTACGACTTCTATTGATAGGTGCTCTATGTGCCCGCATTCTTTGACAACGTGAATGTAACCGGTACAAAATTGGCTCGTGTCATTCATCGGCCATTGGATCATGAATTACCATATACTAGTGAGCAGATCATATCAGATGCATGGACCAGCAGTGGAACTGGTATCGGACAAGTTTTGAAAGTGAGTGCTAAACTTCAATCGAAAACAGTTAAAAGCACTAATAATGAATATAAATGTTTCATTGTCGAGCT